TCTCTCTCTCTCTCTCTCTCTCTCTCTCTCTCTCTCTCTCTCTCTCTCTCTTTCTCTCTCTCTATCATTCGTGAAGCGAGCCAGCCGAGGTTCGCGCCGGTGCATTTATCACATGCAAATTGAGCCACAAACCAAACGTCAAAGCAGCACGCGGGTCCGTCGGCGTTACGACAAGCGCACACATAGCGCATTATTTCGGAAACTATACGCGCGGTCGGGTCGATTGCCGCTCGCTCGCCCGCCGAATTATTCGCCGGCTACAATCACAAACTCGCCGTCTCATCCTCGCGTTGCGATCAAGTGCGCGTGCGAGTTAACCAACGAAAATGAGTCCACAAGTTCTCGCTCTCTCTCTCTCTCTTTCTCTCTCTGTTTCTGTCTCTCTCTTTCTTTCTGTCTCTCTCTGTTTCTTTTTGTCTCTCTCTCCGTCCTCTTTTTCGAGGAATGAACGTTCCGCTAAATTCGCGAAATGCTGCGGATCGAGAAGATAAAGTGTGCGAATAAAGCGGAGAAAAGGACCGGGAATCGGGAAATCCAGAAGGTTCACAGGCAGAGCAAACGCGCGCCGGTATGACGACGTGCGTACGAGTATCTCCGAGCGATTTCCTCCGGGAGGATATTCTCGCGCATATGCTCGCCGGTGAATTCGCTTTCCCGAATGTCGGCTTGACTCGCCGCGAGTTCTGCTCTTCGTGCTCGACGGAAATTGTATATTAATGCGCACATAATACGCATTTCCCGGCAAATATTAGCCCACAAGCCTTTTAATGCTTATTACGGCTTGTTAATATAAATTGTTAACGTTTAACTAAAAGATTGCGCGGTATACTTTCTGTTTGATGCATGCACACACTCGCACACAAGTGATTGATGGTAGTTGCTTGCGGAGCGTTCATGGATGCAGGTGGTCTCGCACGTGAGCGAGCGAACGAACGAACGCGTGAGTGAACGAGCGAATGAGCGAGCGAGCGAGCGCGCGCGAATCTACGCAGTCATTCGCCAAATTAACGATTTATACATTCAATGTTTCAGCTACTGATCAATACGCGGCGATACACCGTTTTGTTTATTTATTCCATTTTAAGCAAACATTTGCCGCGGATGCGCCGTGCACACGCGCTACTTCCTCTTTTATATTCCATTAGCTCGCAATATCCCACGCGTTTGTATTTTACGTTTGGAACTGTGTCAAAGAATGTAATAGACATGTTCATGTGTCGATAAATTTCTATCGGGGCTAATGGCGCAACGCGTGCTAGCCGCAAAAACACGCAGACCACGTGTGAGCTAAACGTGCAACGCACATAATTATTTAACACAAGTTACTTTGAAAACGTTGCGTTTTGCGCTCTGTGCTACGCGCGGTGAGCGCGTCGTTTTTTGCGCCGATATTCCCATTGAATTTTGCGGATATTCCATAATCACATTTTTCTACGTCCCTCCGATATCGCGACATTTCGCTCTGGCGGAAACAATTTTTAATTTTATTTTTAATCTTCTTCATTATATATGGTATTTTGCGGCTTTGGCTCGACGCTCGCGCCATGCCGTTCCCGGTTGCGCTCTGGCGAGAC